CCCCCCCCCACCTAAATCAATAATACCAATCGAACAGTGTGTAAATAACTTTTTTTCTAGTAATACACTTTATAATAAATCTTTAATCCAAGCTTTAACACTGAAAATTTAAATTACAAGGGATATATTTTTTCCAAAAAGTAAATCAGAATTGTAAACCCATTGGAATAAATGAATATTATTGAGACCACTGTTACTTTTTATGATTATTTAATAAATGAGATCTGAGAATGGTATAGTAGGCATCAATATTTTCCCACCATGTTTAACAATAAGGATTTTTAGGCTTTAAGAGGAAATTCAAGATATTTTAAGATTGTATTCTCTACAAGTTGACTTTTTTTACAAATGAAAAATCATAATTCTGGCAAAAGACAAACTCCTAAACGATTGTTCAAATAGTTTGTTAAAGAATCATATTAAAAATATATTTAATACCTAAAGCAATGTTTGGAGAGTATTCAAGGTTAAGAGAGGTACAACTACTTGGCCTTGGGGAGTAGGTAGTGGACGGAGTCAGGAGTAGTCTTGAGCTAAAATAGGACCGAGTCGAAAAAGAAAATGATAATAATAATGATAAATATAACAGAAGAGAGGTTAGAGAAATATATAACTTAAAACATATTATAAATACATCACTTGTTATATTCACCATAATTGCGCAGAAATTACAGAGTCAGCAATGTAAAATCCACTTGTGTTGGTAAACCCAAGAAATATGTAGAATAGATTTTGGAAGATGTATTAAATGGAATTATGAGCAAAGTGGAATGTAAAATGGTATCAAAGATTAATCATGTGGAATGCAAGTTGTATATAAGAGTAGAAAAGATGAGTAAAGTGGTATGGAAGTTGTATAAAAGAGTATGAAAGATGAGTAAAGTGGTATGGAAGTTGTATAAAAAGAGTATGAAAGATGAGTAAAGTGGTATGGAAGTTTATAAAAGAGTATGAAAGATGAGCAAAGTGGTATGGAAATTGTATAAAAGAGTATGAAAGATGAGTAAAGTGGTATGGAAGTTGTATGCAAGAGAATGAAAGATGAGTAAAGTGGTATGGAAGTTGTATAGAAGAGTATGAAAGATGAGTAAAGTGGTATGGATGTTGTATATAAGAGTAGAAAATATGAGTAAAGTGGTATGGAAATTGTATAAAAGAGTATAAAAGATGAGTAAAGTGGTATGGAAGTTGTATAAAAGTGTATGAAAGATGAGTAAAGTGGTATGGAAGTTGTATAAATGAGTATGAAAGATGAGTAAAGTGGAATGGAAGTTTAAAAAAGAGTATGAAAGATGAGTAAAGTGGTGTGGACATTGTATAAAAGAGTATGAAAGATAGGTAAAGTGGTATGGAAATTGTATAAAAGAGTTTAAAAGACGAGTAAAGTGGTATGGAAGTTGTATAAAAGAGTATGAAAGATGAGTAAAGTGGTATGGAAGTAGTATAGAAGAGTATGAAAGATGGGTAAAGTGGTATGGACATTGTATAAAAGAGTATGAAAGATGAGTAAAGTGGTATGGAAGTTGTTTGCAAGAGTATGAAAGATGAGTAAAATGGTATGGAAGTTGTATGCAAGAGAATGAAAGATGAGTAAAGTGGTATGGAAGTTGTATAAAAGTGTATGAAAGATGAGTAAAGTGGTATGGAAGCTGAATAAAAGAGTATGAAAGATGAATAAAAGAGTATGAAAGATGGGTAAAGTGGTATGTAAGTTGTATAAAAGAGTATGAAAGATGAGTAAAGTGGTATGGAAGTTGTATAAAAGAGTATGAAAGATGGGTAAAGTGGTATGGAAGTTGTATAAAAGTGTATGAAAGATGAGTAAAGTGGTATGGAAGTTGTATAAAAGAGTATGAAAGATGAGTAAAGTGGTATGGAAGTTGAATAAAAGAGTATGAAAGATGAGTAAAGTAGAATGGAAGTTGTAAAAAAAGAGTATGAAAGATGAGTAAAGTGGTATGGAAGTTGTATAAAAGTGTATGAAAGATGGGTAAAGTGGAATGGAAGTTGTATAAAAGAGTATGAAAGATGAGTAAAATGGTATGGAAGTTGTATAAAAAGAGTATAAAAGATGAGTAAAGTGGTATGGAAGTTGTATAAAAGAGTATGAAAGATGAGAAAAGTGGTATGGAAGTTGTATAAAAGAGTATGAAAGATGAGTAAAGTGGTTTATAAAATGAATAAAGGACCGAGTAAGATAGATGATGGAAGATAGAAAATTGTTTCAATTTATCAAAATGACATTTTTAACACTGGGAAATAAATTATTCTCTCTCGGTCTTCAAGAATAGACTACAGTAGGTAAGACAGAAATACAGAAACCCCTCCCCCCACCTTATATCTAATCCCCCCCCCTTTTCTCCCTTTCATCTCCACCTTATATTTACTACTCCTCTAATACATACATCCCACCCCATGGCCCACTTCTCATCTTATTAACCCCCCTTAAAATCTTCTTTGATTTCATCCAACCTTTATTTATCTACCCCAGTCCTCCATTTACCTACCCTGGCCTACTATTTTTTAACCTAAGTCCACCATATTTCTACCCAAGTCCATTTATCTTTCTACCCTGGACATCCATCTTTCTACCCTGTACATCCATTTATCAACCTTGGACCTCCATTTACCTGTACTGGACCTCCATTTACTTGCCCGGACCTCCATTTACCTATCCTGGATCTCCATTTACCTACTCTGGACCACCATTTACCTACCCTGGACATCCATTTACCTACTCTGGACCTCCATTTACCTACCCTGGTTCAACCATTTTTCTACCCAGATCAACCATTTATCTACCCTAGACCTCCACTTACCTAACTGGCCTTTAATCTACCCAGCACTCCATTTATCTACCCAGCACTCCATTTATCTACCTGTCCTCCATTTATCACCCCGCCCTTCATTTATTTATCCAGCCCTCCATTTATCTCCCAAGCCCCTTCAATAATCTTCTCAGCCCTCAATTTCTCTACCTAGCCCTTCATTAATCTACCCGGTACTAGTACAAACGTCGGACCAACAAACATCGGACGTTACAAAGGTTGGACTTACAAACGTCGGACTGGTACAAACGTCAGACTGGTACAAACGTCGGACTTTGGTTGAGATTGAAAAAAAGACCATTGCTAAAAGGAATAAATTAAAAAATTCCTCACTTATTGTGATAAAAAATTAAATAAATAAAGTCTCTTCCTTTGAAGGTAGCACTGTATAGAAAAGCAGACCAAAAAGGAGTTAGATTCAATTGTCACAAACTCTGATGTTTCAATATGCCTATATCTTTGCAACCCGATGTCGTATAACTTTTAATATTTCAACCTATGGAATCTATGAGATCAAACAATTTAAGTTTGAAAGTGTCAAAGGTTAATACCATTGCCAGATTGCAAAGATTTAGGAATGAGAATATTTGAGTTGAGTAACAAAAACTCAGTAACTTTTGTTAGATTTTTATTAACCAGTGGATGAAAGGAAATAACCTTTCAAAAAATCTTAAAATTCAAATAATTTTTTTTCCATAGTCCGACGTTTGTACTGGTCTGATGTTCGTACTGGTCCGTCGTTTGTACTTGTCCCAGTCCGACGTTTGTACTAGTCTGACGTTTGTCCTGGTCCGGCGTTTGTACTGTCCGAGGTTTGTTAGTCTTAGGTTTGTACCATCCGATGTGTGTGGGTCCGACGTTTGTACTGGTATCATCTACCCTGGAAAACGATTAAATCTACCTAGCCCCCCATTTATCTACCCAGCCCTTCTTTAATCCACCCAGTCCTCCATTTATCTACTCTGTCCCTCAGTATACCTACCCTGGACCTCCATTTATCTAAACATACCTCCATATATCTACCCAGGCCCTTCATTTACCACCCTGACCCTCTATTTATCTACCCTGGACCTCTAAATATCTACCCTGGACCTCTATTTATCTACCCTGGGCCTCTTTTTATCTACCCTGGCCCTCCATTTATATACTCTGTCATTCACATATCTACCTAGCCCTCCATTTATCTACCTAGCCCTCCATTAGTCTACCCTGGCCCTACATTAATCTACCCTGACCCTCCATATCTACCCCGGACCACGGTTTATCTACCTAACTGTCTATATTGTGTGAAGCCTCCATAAAAAAAATAATGTCGATTTGGAAATGACTCCCTTATAACCTAAAACATTATTAAAAGTCATGTCTATTAACTAGAGTAACAAGTATTATTAAATATTAAGGTCTCCTGATGTATGTTAATTAACAATTTGTTTTCAACAACTATTTTTCTGATTCTAAATTTTCCTACCCACTATCATGTGTTAGTGTGTAATACTGGAGTAAAATATAAAATCCTCCAAGAAGTGTTTCTGTATTTCACAACAAGAGCTAATGTAAGCTTTAATGGTCCAGCTTCACTGGCAGTTTATTTAGGATAAAACAACTCTGGATGCTTAGTAGAAACCATTTATCTGATTAACTTAAACCAACATCAACTAATTGCTGAATACAGTGGAACAGTGCTAACGGAATTCAACAAAATAAGCTAAAGGGAGTGATTTGCTAGTCATGGTAGTTAGGCTAAAAGTGCAGCATAGTATAGAAAAACTTAAGACATTTTTACGATGTACATTGTACAATTTTAAAATTTGTAAAGTCGTTTGTAATATTTCACCAGTTGTTTCAATCAGCAGAAGAAACGTATTTTTTGTCATAATTTTTTTCTCTACAATACTGCACTTTCACCTCAACTACCATGTCTAACAAATCACTCCCATTAAACGAAGTTTACTGCAATAAAAAGAAACATCTGAAGAATCATATTTTTGTTTATTCAGTATCAAATAAAAAAAAATAAAAAAACTGCTGTGCACTAATTTTGAACATATTGTTCACAAGAAATTGTAAAAAACATGAGCATCATCAAAACTAGAACATTTATTTTCTACGAGGCATGCTTTAGAAGAAAAAGAGAAATACGTAACTAAAGAATGATTATAATTTCTAATTTTCAATAAAATATGAACAAATTATGATATTACATAGGTTGATACTCCATGTGTATCCAGAAAAACGTCCTCTGTTTCCAATAGACTTTATTGTATATACAACATTTCCTAGATGGATATTCAAGTGTATCCAAATATAGATTATATATTACCTAGCTGGATATTCAAATTTATCCAAGAAAACATTGTATGTATCCAAATATAGATTATATATTACCTAGCTAGATAATCAAGTGTATCCAGGAAAACATCGTCTGTATCCAAATATATATTATATATTACCAAGCTGGAAATTCAAATGTATCCAAGAAAACATCGTCTGTATCCAAATATAGATTATATATTACCTAACTAAATATTCAAATGTATCCAGGAAAACATCGTTTGTATCCAAATATAGATTATATATTACATAGCTAGATATTCAAGTGTATTTAGGAAAACATCGTCTGTATCCAAGTATATATTATATATTACCTAGCTAAATATTCAAATGTATCCAGGAAAACATCGTCTGTATCCAAATATAGATTATATATTACCTGGCTAGATATTCAAGTGTATCCAGGAAAACATCGTCTGTATCCAAGTATATATTATATATTACCTAGCTAAATATTCAAATGTATCCAGGAAAACATCGTCTGTATCCAAATATATATCATATATTACCTAGCAGGATAATCAAGTATATCCAGGAAAACGTCATTTGTATCCAAATATAGATAAAGATAAAATTTTACCTAGCAGGATATTCAAGTGTATCCAGGAAAACATCATCTGTATCCAAACTAACAGATATTCTTGGCACTTGAATCTGTGGATTCAAATTCTCCTTTGGTGAGCTGACATTACTTAAATATTATTTTGTAATTAAATTTTTTTTTTTTAATTTAAAGCGATGCAAAAAAATTGTAAAATCCTGTCAAACACAGGTTTACTGAAAGAAACCTGAGAAAAATTAATTTAATGAGAATCTGTCAATAAATATTTCATTTAAAAACACATTTTTAAAATTCCAAGCAATCTGGATTAGAATCCAAAATTGTTTCAAGATTTACTGATTTTTAAAAATGAATTTAACATTTTTCCTTTTTCTTTCTTTTGTTAATCTAAAACTTTTTTTTACCATAAGAGATTATGAAGTTTTTTTTTAATGAGGACTCATTAGTTGAAATGTAAACTTAGGAATTTGGTAGCCTAGTAAACTCTGTAAACGCTTAGAAATATTAATTTTTTTTACTCAAAAAGGAATTGTTTTGAATAGCTGAAAAAGCTTTAAAACTCCAGAAATTGAACAGAAACTCCAGAAATTCAACATAAACTCCAGAAATTCAACATAAACTCCAGAAATTCAACATAAACTACAGAAATTCAAATACATGAATTACCTAAAACTGAAAATGTTTTACCTGAATCGGAAGACATTTCTATCTCTTTCACTCAATCCTCTTGGTTTAGGTCTACCAGAAGAAACAGATTTCTTAAAATAAAAAATAAGATATTAAATTTTCTTACTTAAAGGGACTGTAAACATAATTTCACGTGACCTGCTATATAATGCCCGAATCACAACGGTATACTCATAAAAGATTTGTCTGATCAAGGAGGGGAGGAAGGCCAACCACATCAATCTCCAGTCCGAACCACATTCTCCTCATTTTCTCATCCGAACCACCTCGAAATCCTCGTCCTTTCAATATTATTTTTTTTTAAGTGTCTAATCCTTCCAGATAAAACTATTTTTAAAGAATCGGGCCACGTTAGGGCATAAATGAAATATCAAATTTTTGAAAATCGAAAAAAAAGTTTCAATTGAATTAAAGATTTGAGTTTAATGTCTTTAAAAATGTTCACCTTTTTTACGCACATTTTCAGATATTCCTGGTGTAGAATGCCGCAAATAATTCCAAGTTTATAGAACTTAAATCTTTTTTGTTAACTTTAGTGAAAACCATAAAATTTTTCCGGGTGGTTCCATGGGGAAAATTATAGGCAGAGGTATGCCGAATATTTTGCTATTTTTTCATATCACGAAGGTTAGCCATTACGGAGGCAGAAGAGATTTTAGTTTTACCTATATAACGTTTGACATCATCCTCATGGGTTTAAAGATTCCAAGATGATAAAATCATTGCAATACTTTAGTCCATCCATAGTTTATGCCCTAACGTGGCCAGATTTAATAAAAAATAGTTTTATCTTAAAGAATTGGAAACTTTTTAACACAAAATAATCGAAGGACGAGGATTCCGAGGTGGCTCGGACGAGAAAATGAAGAGAATGTGGCTCGGACTAGAGATTGATGTGGTTGGCCTTCCTCCCCTCGATCAAGTGTGAATAATAATCAATGTTCATAATTTTGAAAATTATTATTTTAAATTGCAAGGAGGGTCACTTGAAATTAGGCTTGCAGTTCCGTTAAAAGCCACTTAAAGCCTTTTACGGGCTAAATGCTTGAAGGCAACTTTACTAGAGAGAGTTTTTCCCATCTATTGTGCAGTAGTTTAACCGATCTAAATCTAGAGTTCGAGCTATACTAAAACCATCATTAACAATCTATTTTTAATTAAATTTTTTTAAAAACTAAATTTGAAAAGAGTTGTGAAATTTTTCTCTGACCGTTGTATCTTTTTTCATCTGATCATACATCTTTTTCTGTTATTCTCTTTTAGATCTACGCATTCTAATCTCTTGTAGACTAGGGAAATTTGAAACATATTTCTGATTCATACTTTTATTCACTTTGATATCTTGGCGCCAGAAATATCAAATTAAGTAAAATAGAAAGTTACTGTTTGTGAGGAGTAGATATCAGATGAATTGTCAGTTTTCAATATTGTTTTCTGATCTATGGAATGTCTAACTCAGCAACTGTTTAAGGTAGCTTCAAACTCAATTTCCTCAATATGTTTACAGGTTGAAAAAAGTCCCTGCACCAAGAGGGTTTGATAATTCTGAGGATATTCAATGTGTCAGAATTCCACCTTGATAATGGCAAATGGGATAAGATAGGTTAGGAAAGGAGTGGATATTTTCGACAACAAATTCTTGATTCTTTTAACTTCATCTCGGACACAGTGTTTCAGAATACAGTCTCGTCTATAGCAATCTTTTCCTTGCAGCCGACAGAGTATAAACCGATATAATAGTGAATGGTGCACAACCTATCAGGATTCAACTCTCTATGTTTCCATTTTTCTTGTTTCTGGAAGAGGGAAGGGGAAAAGAAGGAGGGAACCCCCCCCCCCCCCCTGCATTTTTCCAATTAGGGTGTACTGCCATGTTAATCCACACAGGGTTAGTTCAGCCACAAGAAACTGATAGAGTTGTATAGGAACCTGACTGTTCTGAGCTCCATTGATGCTTACACACATAGAACTTATACATTCAATCGAAAGAATTAACATCTTCTGACGAGTTCGAATACTTAATAACAGCTAACCAGGCTTGTTATTAAGGAGTATATTGAAAGAGCTGCCAGTAGCAAAAGCTGGATCCAGCTAGGTAAAAACCTCCATTCTCCAGGTTAATACAGCGTTAAAAGATTAATGCAGGCCTTCAATGTTTCTTGTAGTTCCGTTTATTTCTTTTCCAGTTGTGTGCAGGGTGTATACTGTATACCTCTATACACCCCATGGCTAAAGTTTTTCAATGTTGCCATTTTCTCTCTCTCACACTGTATCTCTGAGTACTCGTAGAAGCTTTACTAAAAACTAATTCGTAAATAGGCACAAATTGCACTGGAATTTTAATGGATTTTTCTTCATACTAGAATCATATCATAGTCAGTGCAGTGTAATTAAAATTTATAACGTTTAGGATTTTACTTTATTTCAGAATCAAATTTCTATTAAATACCTTTTGGGAAAATGAAAATTCATTTTCCTGATCCTGATTTGAGATTTGAGATGATGGTTTCCTGGATCCAAGTTTCCTGGTTTTAGTGTCCCGACATAATTCATGGGCAGTACTAGATTTTCTTCTAAAATATAAAACCAAATAAACATTTGTCAAAAGAGCTGTGGAGACAGTTTCAAACAACCCTCTCCTTTTAGAGTGACATGTCCGATTCACAACAGTAATCTTTAAAGATTTTTGATTTTATAGATGGAAATTAAGTGCCTAGAAAACGAGAACGTAAACTGGAGCATTGAGTGTCCAGAACTCAATTTTCAACTATTAGAATGAGGATATCTACTTTATCCTTAATAAACAATTTTTAAAGTTCCGATTTTTCCTGAGATAGATAGATATATATTTTACTAGATATTTTAATAAAAAACAATTAAAATTGCACAAATTTTTATATTTTAATTTAGAAAATTTTGATAATCAATTTTGTACAAATTTACCTGTTTGATTTAACTGAGAGGACACTGATACATGAAGAGTTCGAGGAAGATGAAGAAAAACTTTTCGTATCTTCGTCTAACATTCAAAATTTATTCTAAAGCTGCAACTTTAAAATGGACTTGATAAAATTGGACTTGTTTTCATCTTGGTCCAAAGATTTGGCCGAAATGGTTGTAAATGGAATTTTCTTTAATTATGGTCAACATTTTTAATTTGGCAAAAAGGGATGAATTCATGAATGAAAAAAATGTTAATTTGAATGTTCCTAAGCTGGGTCTCGTAGGTCTCTCATCAGTTACAATAAACTTAAAGTCTTGATACAGAGCCCTGAAATAATATTAGTTAAAACGATTAGACCTAGCGTATTCATTTCGTCACTTTTTTTGGAGGNGTACATTCGTGAAAAATTGAAAGGATTGAAACCAATCAACAAAACCTTGCTTTCACGCATTCCCATAAAACAATTTAGGCCATGGATTTCCCAAACCCTTCATGTCATCATGAATGTCAAACCAAAATGTTTAGAGCTTATCCCCCCTCCCCCAACAAACCTAGATATTTGAGGAGCCGGGGATCTAGATCTATCCATGTTCTTCTTCTGTACCGTACTTGTCAGGCACATAGTTCCTTAAACGTACACTGTAATCCTTTAATCTTTTCAAATTTTAAATATCAATATTTTAGTAATCTATTGTGATGTTACTGCTTTTAAATTAGATAAGGAAAGCTTTATAAAGGAGATTACAGAATTTCTAAATGTTTGCGAACATAAACATGGAAATCTTTGCCTCAAAATAAATCTATAAGCTCTTATGTTAAATATTAATTGATGCTTTAGTATAAAAAAAGCTATATAATAAAGCTAAAAATTAAAATAGCGCCTAAATGTAATAAGAGAAAGATTTTTTTAATGGGGGGGGGGGGGGGGGGGGCTGTGTCCAAAAATCGTTCGGGTCCGTCCTAAACGATTTTTGGACAACCTCCTATCAATTTTGTACAAGACCAACTAATTTAATTTCAGCAAAATTATTAATATTTATTTGGACTCTTTTAGGTTCAGATTAAGACAGTTTCTGGACTAATTTTATCCATGTGTTACTTATGAGATATGCATGTACACAATTTTTGAGGGAGGGGCCCCCCCCCTCCAAAAATCGAATCTATGCAAGAAAGTTCCGGGGAAAAATTTTTTTGTAAAAAAAGAACTGGAAATAATGTCCTATGTTTTAGCTTCTTGGGACGTTTTTTCCTAAAGTAGTATGGGGGCTTGTCTCAGGAAATAAGATCACAGGAATCAGTCCTGAAGAAAATATATCCGAGGAAAAGAAAAACAATTAGAAAAAAGTCTCAGGGGTATATTCCTGGAGAACGATTTTTGGACCCCCCCCCCCTCCCCTCCTATAAATTTTGTATGACATGAATCTTAAATGTAAGACATGTGGCCGCAGCGCTCGTCCCCCTAGCTTGTTCTAGCCGCAGCGCTCGGCCCAGAAAGTGTCTGAACTAACCTAAACCAAGGCCGCAGTGCTCGGCCCCCGGGCCTAGCACCTCCTAGCCGCAGCGCTCGCCCCAGAAAGTTTCTTAACCTAACCTAACCCTAAATAATACTAAATAAATACTAATTTGGTCATGTTCAAAATTGATAGGAGGGGGGGGGGGGGGGGGTCCAAAAATCGTTCACTAGGACAGACCCGTCTCAGGAAATCTAAAATCATTAAATCATTAGTCTGCAGAAAAAAGTCTTAAGGGTTGTGTATAATCCCCCGTACAATTTTGTACTGTGATAAATATATATACAGGGGAGTTTAATATCAAGCTGAAAACATACGATCATTTCTAGGAAATAACCTGACTTTTTTAAAGCGAAAATTTTAGGACTTAATTTCGAAAACTTACTATGATTTCTCGATTCTTTAATCTTTCAGAGGTTTGATTGACAACAGGATATTTTCATATTGAGTCTGAATTTTCACGAATTAACAAATTTTCTCATTCTTTTGTCTGTAATTTGTATTTTTTTTAATATTTGGATTGGAAGAAAGCCAATTTTGACTTGTGAAGTAACTGATTGGTGATTAATCAAGTGTACATTGTCCAGTACAAGTGAGCTCAACGTACTGTAGATGTACTCTATGACCTCAAACTGGATTTCATCAAATTCGTACCAAACGAGCAGGGGAAGGCAGACGGCCATGAGCCACCACTATTTTCCCTTCCGTGCCACATATTAGCTTTTTTCTCTTCCGGCAGCCATGAGCCACCACTTTTCCCCCTTCTGTACCACCACATTTGACTCTTCCGGGCAAAACTACTTTTTTAACTGGTATATTTAGGGCCTTTATAAAAGTGTGATTTTAAAAAATCCAGCTGCGTCACGCAAAAAAGCACAACTCGACACACCATTTTTTCAATTATAAGATTAATATTTTGTGCGTTGAATTCTTAAACTGTTTTACAATGAAATTTTTGACAAATTTGACTGAGTATTGCATCTTGAAATATATTGGTTAATTCGAGTGATTTTAAGATGGATTTTGAGTCAGTAATTGTGTTACGCGAGCCATGCTGCGTGTATAAAGTCTGCTTATCGCCCCTGTGTATTTCTGAGTTCTCCCTGAAGATCTGTACGGAATGTATTGTGAAAGAACTAGTTTAGGAACTGTTTACAGACTGACTACGCAGCTGCGCAAGATTTCTCGCGGAGTAGTAAATAATTTATATCAGTATATGTTTATTCGTTTTGCAAGTTTAGCCGTGTCTAGAATTCTGGGATCACTGTGGTAATTATTTTTATATATACTTATGCTTATCGTTTTGATTATAGTATGATTGATATTTATATATGTGTTTGTTGGTTCCTAGCCACAGTTTTTTAATGCCTGAGTGAATTATTTGTTGTATTTGTATGATTTATCACTCAAAGCTTTTTCTGTGGGTTTATTAAACTTATTTAGATTGAAGGCTCAGAGAAATAAACGTTCGGAACCTTACTATCATCCTTTTATTATGAAGAGCGTTGAGAGAAGGGAGTCTTACGATCCGGTCCTGAGAAATACCACACGGTATATATATTAGGTCTTTAGGGAAATCGCTAAGTAGCGAAACAAATTGAATAATCTGATATTTTTACAATGTTATAATTTTTTATTTGAAAATTTGTTATGTTTTATAAAAGAAAAGTTAAAATCATTATTGTTTTAATTGATCTAAAAATGTTTAATCATAATTAATCAAGTTTAACAACAACAAGTAAAAAGTTAAAAAAAAAAATTTTATAACATGTCTTGGAAGAATGGATAATCATGAAGCAGGGTGAATTTAAAATATTCCTAACTATTTTGGTCCTTCCCGTAGTAGATTTTATTTTGTGTTTTAAGAAGAAACATCTTTACAGTCGAGAATTTATTTTCAAACAAATCTATAGAATTTTCTGATGTCTCCAATTCTTAAATCTATATTTATATTTTGTGTTAATCCATCAATTGAGCTCGCTAATAAATCCCTCTTTAAAAATGAGCTTGTATTATCAAAATTTAGTCTTTTTTTTTTCAAAATTCCATGAAACGATGTTCCCTTTTCGCAGGAAACCCATAGTCTTAAAAAACAATCCTTTCGTTATGAAAACGATGACGAAAAATCGAAAACGAAGTACGATCGTTTTTAAAACAATCATTTTTTTAAAAAGTTCGTTTTTTAAAAATGGTCGTTTTTATAACGATCGTTTTTCAAAACGTTTTTTTTAAAAACGATCGTTTTTATAAAATTCGTCGTTTTGTTAATGATTGTTAACAACGACCCTTCGTTAACGATCGTAAACGACAAACCTTTGTTAATGATCGTTAACGATCGTTAATTACAACCCTTTGTTAACAATTGTTAATGACAACCCCTTCGTTAACGAAGAGAGGAAACCGACCTGAAGGGCATCTGTACTTAAGTTTTTAAGTTTTTAAGAAAATATCAAGGAGATTTTAACTACCCCACAATTGTTAAACTTCATGTAAGACGACATTCAATAAAGTTGCATGTAATTGTTTTCCAAAAACGACCATTTTGATAAAGTTCGTTAACAAAAAACCTTCGTTAACGATCGTTAATGAAAGGTCGTCATTAAGGATTATTAACGAAGGATCGTCATTAATGATCGTTTTGAAGGGTTGTCGTTAACGATCATTTACGAAATGACGAGATTTATGAAAATGATCATTTTGAAAAACGATCATTTATAAAAACGATCATTTGAAAAACAATCATTTATAAAAACTATCGTTTTTCAAGACGCTATACACACATAATTAAACTCTTTTTACAAGATTTTTCATTATGATAATAAAAATCAATAAGCAACTAGATGCTTATCAAATCATAATAAAAATATCTTTATAATTGTTACAGAAAGTTAGGAAAAGCATGTGGTCTACCTTTTTTGAGCTTTTAACGCATAAACACATAATTTCAAAGAGAAATTGGCCAATTAACAGCTTCTCTTTATTTACACGTAAACCTGGAATTTGAAAAATGCTTGCCAGGGATAATAGCAAACTATTAGTAAAGTTGTCTTTATTGCATAAATATAATTGCTGCCCATTGTAGATTCTCATGAATGTCATCTTTTTTATTAAATAAATCTATTTTCAACATTTGGTCTAACTGGTCCCTGAAAGCTGAGTGATTGAGATTTCAAAAAATAATTATTTATGACCCACTCTTCTGAGTTAAAAATAAAACTTTCAAAATGATTTTTAGAACTAGCTATTCATCTGCATTATAAAAAACAAAATATCGTAAATGTTTTTTTTTTATCAGGGCATAACAACCCTTTTTAATATATAAAGATGTTTGAAAAATTGTTTACATGCTGTTAAACATATGTACCTTCCCACAAACTGGGACGGTTAAAAAATAACTAATAAATTCCAAAATAGTATACTACTAAAACATATGAAAGCAAATAACTAATATTCTAGGGATGCATTATGGTGCCAATTAAAAAAGCAGAAATAACAAGTTGCAAAATATCGTGCATGTTTCTAACTCTTCCCTGGAACATGTAAAAATATCAATTTTATTAAAAAACACACATTTAGACAATTTCTGGTCTAATTATCGTCAATAAACTTGCAACCAAACAGAATGCAACAAAGATAGGGCTTAACAGACAATATCATATAATAAAAATTACAAAATTATAAACTATGGGTTTATATCAATTTCATTCTCAACTCAAATAAGTTGGTCCATGTTTAGTTTGACGGAACTACAACAGATCCACCTCGAAAAAAAGGTTTACTGAGATTAGTATTATCTTCTATCCAGTTGATTCCATCAAATTCCTCCATTGTTATTTGTGCCACTGCATCTTCTCCGCCAAATACCCTGAGTTTACCATTAAACCCATGCATAACATGATAGTAACGCACCCTTTTCATATTATTTGCTTTTCTCCACTGTTTATCCATTATATTGTACACCTCTACACTAGACAATGGACCGCTATTACCACCACCGCTAACATAGACTTCATTATTGTAAGCAGCACACCCCGCATATGTCCTAGTTTCTCACATTCTTGGAAGGGTCTCAATGAGGTTTCCATTTATATCATACTTTTCCGTTGCTGATACAGAACGTCCATCCCAGCCTCCAATCACTAACACTTCAGTGGAGCTTATTGCTACAGCACAGTGTGAATGTCCTCCGTAAGTCAGAGTATTGGCTAGGGTAGTCCAAGTGTCACCATCAAAACGTTCAATAGTATTTAAATAATTACTTCCCCATTGGCCACCCATAGACATAATATAATTTCCAACAGTTGTCATACTTGCATAGTATTTTCGTTGATTTACACATTTTGTCAGTAATTCCCAGTTACCCCCAACATTTGAGAAACATTTATTACTGCTAGGGTTATATATGTAGATAATTCCATTCAGCAATGCAACACCTCCTCGTGTGAAATTACCTAATTCGGTTGGCAGAGGGAACTCAAATGGGTAAGATTGAGCAGTGTTTATTCCCTGTCCAATAAGAAACACTATCTCATTTTTATCTGGTTCATATCCAAGGCAAGCATCTGCTTTTAGGAACACAAGCATTGATTCTTCCTCTTATACATCCTCCATAAACTTTATATTTGCCAATACACAGGTGTTGGATTGTTTGTCAAAATGAAAAGAATTGCAGAGTGCATTGCTATTATGGCATTTGAGAGAACAGACCATGCTGTTGTATTCTTTGCTCTCAGCAACTACAGATTTTTCCCAAGTTGAGGTTGAGACCTTCCAATTCTGTTCATACTTTATACCCTCAGTCCTTAACACAATCAAGCTTTATGAATAGGGTTTTAAAAAAAATTTTGATAAATTCCTAATGTGCATTAAAAACCCTATAAAAACTTTTGGACCTTTCGGCTATACCTTTTCCAGACTAAACTACAAATAAATCTACCATCTAGATTTGTTAGTATGTCGATCTATTTCTGTTGCTTTTATGGCCTAGATTAGTTCACAGTTCACAGCTAGTTTGTCAGTGTGTTACAAAATTTCCAATTTTTCTTATTTGTTGTATTGGCTTTTGGCTTACCCCCAGCAACCCTCTCTACTTATCTCATTTTTAAAGCTTTATCCATGAAGCTTTTTGCTTTTAAGAAAATTATTTTAAATATAAATGCGCGATAATGCAAAGGGTGGGGTATACACCATTCAAGTTACAACAAGAATAAAAAACAGCATGCAAAAATATTTGTAAAAATTATTGTAACTTTTATTTATGTTTGAATGTTCAACGGGACCAATAAAAATGTGGAAAAGGAAAACAGCCTTTTATAAATGTGTATTTTGAGCTGATAAAGAAATTGTTTTCCAGTATTTGCTTGAAAATCAACTAATTAAGTGAGATAGATCTGTTATGAGCTGGTAAAAAGATTGTTTTCCAGTATTTGCTTGAAAATTAACTAATTAAGTGAGATGGATCTGTTATGAGCTGGTAAAGAGATTGTAAACTAATTAAGTGAGATGGATCTGTTATGAGCTGGTAAGAGATTGTTTTCCATCTTTTGCTTGAAATT